TTAAAAAACCGATAAAAATAAGGATATCAATATATAACAAATAAAAAATCATTTATTCATCCAAAATCTTTGAGGACGCATGCTCCACCTCTTATGAGCTGCTAAAGAATATCAGAATGGGAAAGTGGTTGAGAAGAGTAGCCTCAGGTAATTAGAGTCTGGGAATATGTCATCTCGTGTAGAATTCGAGTTTAAATGGTTTGATAAGCAATAATGAGAAAAATATATGAAAATAGTTATATTATGACGCAGAATTAGCAGAAATATTTGAATGTGCCATAATTTGTTGAAGGATTATATGAAACCGTTGAATGTACTTTAAAAGTTTAGGCCTCAGAGTCAGTTCTGGTTGTTTCGATCAAATAACCTGCTTTGAAAATCGACAAAACTCATCAAAAGTTTCGAGTACACAAGGCCATCAGTTGTCTAAGTATTCAGTTAATCTTCTATAACAGCAACAGACGTATCTTAAAGGAAATGAAAGATTGCAGAGTTGGAATATCAAGCCATAATCTCATTTTCGTGAGATAAAGCTTCGTATAGAAATATAATTTACGCGTTGTGTTCACAATGTTTCTTGTTGTTTTTTTTGTTCCTTACAATCATTTTATATTTATGTAACTTTTGAACCACATGTAATCTTCTTCTTACTAATTTATTATTGTGGATTATTTAGCAGATAAATTACTAATAAATGAATATGAAGCCAATCTCTCATCCAATTTATCACTTATCTGTGTATTATACCAGTTTGAGATACTAGTCTCTTACAATCGCCATTAACTTCAAATAGAATTAAAGTAACAGGTGTGATTGAATGAAAAAGTGTACACCATAATTATTTTTTCCCTCTTCAGAAAACAAGTAGATTCTGAATGTAACCATGCTCTGGCCTAGACCAATTCTTAATGTTTCAAGTGTTATCAAACCACATCTTAAGCGTTGTCCAAATAATAGACAAATCTCAGATATAAATAAAGGTCGTCAAGTGTTCAAATGAGCCGTAACTTAACTTTTAGTCCGAGAAAAAGACAACCATATAAAGGCTTCAAAAATAAAGAAATTTTAAATCATAATTCCCAAATTTATATGGTCATCAGGGAATCTATCCTGATCTAATTCATATTAAACGTTATTTTTATTCCGGATAAGAGATTTCGAAGCGATATAGAAATTATCTAAGGTACTAATGTACCGATCTCGCTGTTTTACTGAGAAATAAACAGAATCAGATATTTCACAATTAATTTTGCTTGAAAATACGCACTTATATTATATTATATCGCTTAAAATACGCACTTATATTATATCGCTTAAAATACGCACTTATATTATATCGCTTGTAACGTAGACAAAACAAATCATTTTACTCTGATACAGAATAAGAACAAACCTTAAGAATGGTTAAACCTCGAAGGAGAAACCGTTTCGAAGATGTATGTTTATGAAGTTTGCTTGAAAATTACTGTTGCTTGTCTTTTGTTTAGAAGTAAAGTAGAATCAAGGTTATCCGAAATATACATGAAAGGTTAAATCTTCAGGATTTTGATTTTCTGTTTTGAAAATCTTATGTCAAGGCATCTTTTTAGTGGAATAATATGAAAATAAATAAATACATTTTTGACGAAATGTTTGAAAAATACCAGGGGTATAGTAGAGCCATAGTAATTTGTGTCAATAGATATTCCTTTTTGAAAGACGGAAAAACGTGAAATTAAGTGTAAGTTCTCTAGTTGTGTTTGTTTCCAAGAAAAAATGTGAAGACTAAAACATTAGTCATTTAATTTAAAGTAAGATAAAAAAGATATTTCAGATATTTTTATCTTTTTCCAAAGATAAAAAAGTAACTTTCTCTTCTAGAGAACCAAAAAACAACTTAAAATTAGATTAAGTTAAAGCCCCCCCCCCAGTGGCATAGCGGTATGTCTGCGGACTTACAAAGCTAGAATCCGGGTTTCGATACCTGTGGTGGGCAGAGCACAGATAGCCCTTTGTGTACCTTTGTGCTTAATTACAAACAAACAAAGTAAGTTAAAAACAAGCCGTAATAAACGTCTAGATTTAGAAAAATTTGATTGAAAATTGCTATTTTTGAAGCCCTTCTGTTGTTTGTCTTCCCTTCCAAAGTAAAATCAAAGGGATCCGAAGTATTCATGACAATTCAAGGCTTTAATATCGGGAGTTTTGATGACAAGAGTTCTATTTTGAAAAGCTAATATCATGGTATCTTTCTAGTAGACTAACGTGAAAGTATATTTTTCACGAACCTTTTGAAAAATACCAAGGATAGTTTGGATGAAAAATATTTTGTTTTGAAACACGGAAACACATAATTTAATAGGAACTTAAGTTTAAGTTCTCCAAATGTGTTTGTTTCTTAGAAAAACACATGAATGAAATGTTAGTTATTTAATTTAAAGTATTATTTAGCTTCCAAAGCTGAAAAATAACTTTCTCTTCTCCAGAAAAAAAAAAAAGATAACTTAAAATGAAATTAAAACGAATCCGTAATAAACGTCTAAAAAATAAAATTTCAAACCAAAATATTCGTAGATTTACCATCTAACCCTACCGGCCGCCAAGCCGACTAATAACGAAAACCTACCACCTGGCGGTAAAAAATTATACTTTGCTCAGTAAAGTTAATAGATTTACTTTAAAGTTCTAAGTCCGTGAGGTGCCCCCAGTGGCACAGCGATATGTCTGCGGACTTACAACGCTAGAATCTGGGTTTCGATACCCGTGGTGAGCAGATCACAGATAGCCCATTGTGCTTAATTACAAACAAACAAATCTAGGTCCATGAACATTACCATTAAAATTAGTTATAACTGATTGTATTCGTGAAAGTAACCTTAATGAAAGCTAACTTAGTTTGGACGGTCGAGGATAAAATTATCAATCAAATCAGCGCCATCACAACCCGAGCACGTGAGAAACTAGTCACTGTTGGTCATTTCATTATAAAATAATGGCAAAATGTTACTTTTTTCTTAATAACTTTACAAAGACTTTAGTTTTGAAAATCTTAAACTGAGTATATCTTTTCCAAAGAAGTTAATCACATTCTGTCATAATAAAGTCCGACTCTTAAGGTATCATTGCTGAGAAAGTATGGTAACATTAATGGTTACAAATGTCTTGGGGGTTTTAATATAAAAATAATATGTATACCATTTTGAATAGGTTAAGTCAAATGAATCGTATATCCCGAAGAATGGTAAGTTTGACGGTGTTGACATTTTTCTTGGGGAATTTTGAACGGCTCTAATCTTCTGTATTTTTCACGCAGGAAGAAGAAGAAGGGTAAAGATTATATAAAAAAAAAAACATACTTGATCAGCACAAATAGGTTAGCTCAAAAACCCCATGGCTTAAGCACTGAAAGCTGTCCTTCTTTATGTTTTACGTAACGTACTATTATAATTTCACGCTATGTCTTATTGTGTTTATTCCAGGTACGTTTGGACCTGGGGGTTCAATTTTCACTCTAACTACGGCCCTGCCATTGTTACACAGAGACGTGACAGACACAAAAAATATTTAACTTGTTTTACTGAACACAAACGACCACCACGAATAACATGAAACATGAAATCATTAAAAACAAACTTGTTAGTTCTTAAAACGTAATCTTTATTTGATACAAGCTTCACTAGTGTTATTACACCTGGATGGATGGATGGGTGGATGGCACTTTGGCCACCATTATTTATAGCTAACTACTGAGTGAAGAGAGTAACAAGGATTATGTGTCTTTATGGGTCAGGCAGCCGTTACGTGCCTGAAGCATGTGACCTCTGACTAGGAAAACTACTAGCACTGCAGAAACCCAAAACTGAAGAACACTAACCCAAGTCTGCATTTCAAATACACACATATATATATATAAACCAGCAGGTATTTTACAATAATGTACAGTCTTATTTTACAATGTCTTTGTATGCTTAACAACAAGCAGATAAGAAATAAATAGCTTTAACTGGTGTGAAACATTCTTCTGATCTGGTGTGAAACATTCTTTTGATCTGGTGTGAAACATTCTTTTGATCTTTTGTGAAACAT